ACCTTATACGAAGCACCAGAACAGCAGTAAGGAGTATTTTAACAATAGGTTGAGTAGATGCCGGATGAGAGTTGAATGTGCCTTGGGCAGACTAAAGGTGCCCTGAAGGGATCTTTATGGCAGGCTAGACTTTGATGAGGATAATATCCTCATGGTCACAGCTGCATGCTGCACTTTGCATAATCTCTGTGAATCAAGGGTGAAATGTTTGCTCAAGGTGGAGCACTGAACCAGAGTGCTTGGCTGCTAAGTTTGAGTAGACAGATACTAGGGCTAGAGGAGCCCAGAGGGCTGCAGCTGAAATCAGGGAGGCTATGAGGAATATTGTTACTTTGACAATAAGCAGTAGTAACATATGTCTGTGTGGATGTTGCTTCCATGGTGCATTCCACCTATATGCCACTTTGGTCCCTGCACAAGTGATTGCAGAATGGCATTGCACAGTGTCCTACAATGGGAACAGGAACTAAGCTGCACTGCCATGCAACCTGTGGCAGAGGATTAATTAGTGCCCTTTGGAAACTTTCCTGGCAGTCTCTCTGGAGGATTGCCATGAGATCTCAGAATGCCTCAATACCCTGTTCCATCATACCAATAAGATACCCAAGGAAACATCCACCTCACAGAAACACAGCCAGCCTCCTACTTTTCTGTACCCCAAACCTACTTCTGTGTTCCACAACCCGCAATCACTTACCCTGCATCTCATCACCTTCTGACTCCCCAGAGACTAGCTATGCACCTCAGGAGTGAAGAACAGTTCCTGACTACATGCCCCAACAGGCAACCCAATTAGGAACTCCATATCCTCGTCTAATTCCACCTCCTCATCAATAATTTAATCTTCTGGTTTAGGTCCTCTTTCCATTGCCCCTGTGCCCTCCAAAGTATCCACACCCAGCCAGCAAGGATATGGGATTTAAAGTTCCTGAGATTTGCAAAGGGGAGGGGTGGATTGTTGTTTATCTGGCTGCAGGGAAGAAAAGTTCAAACTGCTGACTACCGCGGTCAGCATGAGCATGGTAGGACACTTTCTGAAGGCTTATTGAGGCAAATGTGGTGCCTAGCTCTTTGTCAACAAAAAAGAGAGGAAGAGAAAAAAAGTCTCTTGTAGGGTTGGAAATATTTTTGTCATAAAAACCAGGTGTTTTTCCTGACATTAGTCACATTGCAGTGTATATGCTCTCACTCTTTTGTCACCAAAAGGCAGATTTTAGTGACAAAATTTGGTAGTGTAGACAAGGACTTAGTCTAACAAGATGACGCCCAACTGAGCAGGGGCAGACTGGAGCTTGTATAAAGCCATGATGTTGAAAGCAGCAGGAGGCTGCAGCAAGTAGCTCTGCAGTCACTCCCTAGAAAGAAAGGGACTTATTTAGGGACACAGAGGAATTCTGGGAGGGCAGTAAGCTCTGGGATCCTGCCCTGGACTATAAAGTCTGTTGAGCAGTGAAGATTAGTGAAATAGTCCCAGGCTTGTAAATGCAGAGGTGAGGCAGGAGATAGAGAAGTGAAGTAGGAAGAAACAGAGAAACACAAGGGCTACAGCTACACCGTGTATTCTTGCATAATAACACATGCATATGAGGCATGGGGATGAATATCGCTGTGCCTGATTTGCATACCTAATGAGCCATCATTTTTGCAGAAGAGGCTTTTGTGCAAGAAGGATCTGTCTACATTGCTCCTTTTTGCGCAAAACCCTCCCCTCTTGCTCAGAGCCGTTCTGCCGCTTATTCTCAGGAAGAACAGCTCTGTGCAAGAGGAGTTTTTTTGTACAAGAAGGAGCAGTGTAGACAGCTGTTTCTTGTGCAAAAGCATCTTCTGCAAAATGGCGGCTCATTAGGTATGCAAATGAGGCACTGCAATATTCATCCCGCACCTCATTTGCATATCTTATTGCGCAAGAATGCACAGTGTAGACATAGCCCAACAGTGTGAGGTTGAGCAGCCCACAGTTTCTAAGAATAGGTTTCCTGGGCTGGAACTTGAAGTAATGCATGGACCCAGATTTCCCACTGGGAAATGGTACTGGACCTGGACTCGGATAAGAAGACTACCTGACACAGGACCTGGGCGGTTTGTCCAGTGAGACTCTGACATCCCTGAAGAGAAGGACTAAATAGTGATCTAATCAGATGGCCAAGACATGAAGAGGGAACACCCTAAATCCCAGATAAAAGGTGTTTCTGTGGTGGTTGTACCCGTGTTACAACTTTCATAAATCTTCTTTTAAATGTGTATAATACCACCAAAATATATACTGCCCTACAGTTATGGGGGAATAATAGAGGACAGTCACCTACTGTGCAGAGCATTTAGAAATCCCTGAAACATTTATTATTTTTATTCTTTAGATATGAAACAAATCCAAAATTTAGACACCTCCGCAAAGGTATCTGATTTTTAGAGATACTGAGCACCCAAAACTCTGATAATCAGACCACATCTATTAGGTTCCTAAATATGGATTTAAGTGCCTAACTTTAGGCACCCAGATTTGATAGTGTTTTTTATACATAAATAAGGAGGTGAAATTAGCCACACAAGCAAAAGCTAGACAGACTGCAGGAGCAGAGGAGATAGGGATTACCAAAGTACACCGGGGATCCAAGGAGAAAGATTATTCAAATGCTTTTAGACTTGTAACAAATAGTACAGTTTGCGACTGCTTAAAAAAGAAATTAGTCCATCAATTTTTCCACTCTGCATTTGCAACAATCAGAATCTAGAAATTGTCACTGTTGACGCAATTCCTACTTTGCTCTTTTGTGAGCTCTTCAAATCCATTGGCATTTCAGTTTTTAGAATTCAGATTGGGCCTGTAGAATTTTTTTCTTATTATAACTAAGTAAACTATCATCTCAGAGTTGCAGCATTTCCAACGGGCAGGCTATTGGCATATCCTTTGATGGTTTGGTGCTCTTTCATTTTACATATTGAGCTGTGTTCACTTAAGAGTTGCCAAGGTTCTTCAAAGTATTTGAATAAAACTCTTTATAAAACAAACAAAAAAATCCATTACCAGCAGCCTCCAAATACAGACTTGACAAATGGCCAACCTGGAAACTTTAAAAGAAATTTGCTCTGCTGACAAGTGGCTCTGGTGAAGGCACTGTTGGCTTTAGTTAGGTGTGTATACACTACACTGTAACTGTTTTGGAAGTCTAGGATCTGTGAGGCTGCTAATTAAAGTACAGCATCAATTCCGTGTGTTTGAGGATTTGTGAATCCAACACTGTCAGTTCACTCAAAATCTGAATTCGTTATTATTATTATTATAAAGTTTCAAGTTGTGCTGTCTGAGTCACTTGACTTGGACCATCTGAGCAGCTGTTTGGTGCTGCTAAGGCTTACGGGCACTTGCCATAGAAGAGGCTCAGCAGTAGTTACTCTTATCACAGTTTGCCCCAGCAGTAGTCCCCTACTGCAGTCACTCCATTGAAAATTCAAGAGAGGAACACTATGATATGAAAATCAGAATAAATTTTATACACATTTAAAGCTGAAATTACAAACCTAACATACATATGCAGAACCATAAGATATTGACTAAGCAGATTAGTATTGGAAAGCTCCTTAAAAAAGAAGTCTTTGGCAACTTATGTTGAAATGTTGCAAAACCCCATAGGGGTTAAAAACTTTTTGAAATCATTATTTAATAAGAAATCTGTTCCTTTTCCGAAGGATATTACCCTCTACACAGAAGCTATATAATTTGATGTATTCTGTCTTTTTGATAGCACAGCAATTTTAATAGCCAGTAGTATAGTTTTCTGATGCAGACAGACAAACTAAGAGGCCACTGTTCTCCAGTTTATATGCAAAAAAAAAGTTTCAACACCTTTGCAGAACCAGAGTATGAAGGAGATTGTTGTCTTGTTTGCTTTTTTAAAATCTAGCAGTTTCTCTTTCTAATTTCTGACTTCACTCATAGAGTTGAAAGACTTATGCAGTTACACACTCGTACGTACTTCCATGGTTTCATTGTACTAGAGCCCAAAGAAGGAAGTAAAATAGAGTTTAACTTGGAATTGACCAATTATCAATTTAAAACTGGTAATGCATCAAAAATGGAACCTCCCTGAGCCCCTTTCTGGTTCAGGAGATATATGTTACACCTACTTCCCCCCAATCCAAAGCTGCAACTCTGCTTTGAGTCATATCCCAAACCAGAAGGGCCTGCTCAGTTGCAGCCACAATGTCACAGCAAGTAGTTTTGATCTTAGATGGTAGAAAGCTCAAGACAACACCTAATTTTGCAAGAAAAGATTGCACTATTATTTTTCTGAGATTATGTGCAAAAGGCTTAAGGGAACCAAGTCTTTTACAAAGAGGGCAGAGCCAATAACTGAAAATCTCTTTCCCACTATGCTCCTTCCCATTGCACAGACTTCTCGTGTACACAATAAATCCCTACCTTGCAATACCCAAAATACACATATACACACTGGCTGCATCTACACTGGCATGATTTTGCTCAAATACTTTTAACGGAAAAGTTTTTCCGTTAAAAGTATTTGCGCAAGAGAGCGTCTATACTGGCATGTGCCTTTGCGCAAAATATTTGCTTTTGCACAAAAGCATCCATGCCAATGTAGACGCTCTCTTGCGCAAGAAAGCACCGGTGGCCATTTTAGCCATCGGGCTTTCTTGCGCAAGAAATTAACATTGCTGTCTACATTGGCCCTCTTGTGCAAGAATACTTGCGCAAGAGGGTTTATCCCTGAGCGGGAGCGTCAGAATATTTGTGCAAGAACCACTGATTTTGTACATTACAAAGTCAGTGTTCCTGCACAAATACTCGCGGCCAGTGTAGACAGATAGCAAGATTTTGCGCAAAAGCGGCCACTTTTGTGTAAAATCTTGCCAATGTAGACACAGCCACTATGTTGGGCATGCATCTAGGAATACCTCTAAATCCCATGTCCTCACAACTTGTTTACAAAAACAGCTCCTTACTATACTATTCCTTTAGCTCAGCCCTCTTTTATCCCCAGATTCTGCTTCTTCTGCCTTCGTAATGCTTGGAGTGTGTCCGCCTTAAGAGCAGGTGCAAAAGTTGCAAGAGGAAGAAGATGCTGCCCCTGCTTTTCCTTGGTCCCAGCAGCTTCTCCAGCTATATGCAGAGCATCACATATACAGCTGCATGATTTGCTCAGTTCCAGCACCAACTCTACTTACAAGATTTCTACCATTCCAGGTAACATGATATTTTGAGATTTCTACCATTTTGTTGTTCCTGCCATAAAATTTCCACAAGATTAAGACGCTGTGAAATCCATACCTGAAGGCTCGCTTGCCATGGTTGGAATTTGAAACATAATGTAATCCTAACCCAATATGAACACCTATCTAAATAATTCATCTCTGTCTAAAATGAAAGTTCACCTACTAAAACCAGGCAAATCACATCACTAATCATGCTTATGTTAGTAGGAATAAGATGAGTAGAACATGTCTCAAATCTTTGACTTACTTGTAAAGACCACAGCTCCTGCTGTGACTTTCCTACCTCATTTGTTAAAGTTTCAACCAGAAAAGAATACATTTGCCTTTTGTAGATTCCGTTTTCCTAGGGTTCTGTTGGTTTGGACAAATCTACCATGCAACAATATTTTATCCAGTCAGGATGTATGAATTTCAAGATGCTTTTAATACCAAAGCCAAGCACCATATATGAATAAATACACAGGGGCACGCACACAGGACAACCACCTGACTTGTAGGTGGAATTTAGGAACCTATTCATCTATGTAAGGAAGTGAAATGTTGATAACATTTTTTCTTGCTCTTTAGCACTTGGTTATATGTACAATAGTTGTCTTTTCTGCAGAACATTGTTCCATGGAATATTTTGTTGTCTCTAGCTATTATTCATAAGCAGAATAGAGTATCTAGATGCTAATTCGAGAATAGAAAATCCAGTGAGAAATAATTAGTAATAATCCTTTGTAGCTATGATCTCCTTCTGCATCAATTACAAATAATATTGTTATACTTTTATAATAGAAAAATTAACAATTAAAATTATTTTTCAGACATAAGGTGAAAGAACCTGCAAATCTTTTCTGTCACATTTTCCTCTTTGTACATTTCAAAAAGTATAAAATGTCTCAAAATAACGGTGTGCATGAGAATGTGTTCTTATCCATATCTCCCAAAAGAGAAAAGCAATAGTTTGCTTTACGCACTGCTGAAATATGAAATTGTAGGAAGAGGGCCCCATTTACAAACAGTATATTTTCCATTTCAAGTTATGTAATAAAGTATATATTCAAACCCACAAACCTTTGCAAGTTATTGTTATCCTGCAGCTCACTGAAATACTGAGAGAAATTGCTTTTATGGGCATTCAATATCACAAAATGCTACAAAAATGTTCATGCTGCTGGTATTTTAGTGAACAATAAGTTGATGGCTAGAAGATTCTGCTCCTGGAAAGGGAAAAGATTCTATTTAACTCTGTCAGAGTATCCTAGAGGAATCCTGCATGGTAATATTTATTTCTCCTGGGATACATTCTAGATATAGAAAGATTTCAGGCACTGGGCAATGATAGAGAGCAGCTCTGAGCTCAAGTACCAATTTTATGATAGTTGCTAAAGTAACAGCATTTTTCCCTCTAGCAAAACTAAACAGAGACATTATCTGGTGTAACTTACTAATAATGCACCCTTTCATTTTAGCATTTTTCAAATTGTTTTCATGAAAACAATATGTATTTTTCAGTGAATGCAATGTATGTGAAGGGTTGGTGGAGGGTACAGTAAGAGAAACAATCAAAATTCCTTACATCACCTTGGCCAGAGTGGTTTAATTCTGACAAGGAAGGAGTAGTGCTAGAGTTGGAGGACAATTCAATATTTTTAATTAAACCCTTCACTTCTGGGCTGATAATGTTAACTAGCATCAATTGTGTGATGTGAATACTTGTCCATTAGAAACTGAATGGAGACCATGAACTAGTTACACATAGGCAACTAAATGAATGCTGATTGTTTCATTTGCAAAGGGGTGAGGCTGAATGTAGATTAAGCAGAACAAATAGAACTCTGTAAAACCTGTGGAATGCACTGTCCATGCTTTGCTTCCAACCTAATTCCACCAATTATGTTTCCCTGTTATTTCACCAATAACTGCCCCCCTAAGGAAAATTGACCTTCTGACTCCAATTCCATGGATTATGATACATCTTCCGTATTTTACAGAAGTTTCAATATGGACATTAAAAACCAATAATTGATGCCCTGCCCCATTTGTTGTATGCTTTCAGACAGAGTTTGCTAGCGCACAGATGGATCAGAGTCTTGACTTAACAAACATTTGAACTATCTCACCCATTACCAAGATAGTTTCCCCAATTATCACCTCTAATACCATTAACTCACAAACATCCCCCTCTCCCCACCTCTAATATCATCAATTCACAGACACTTACCTTCCTTCCTTCCCGCCCCCTGCATCCCCCTCCTGTTCTGCAATGTGATTTGTCCTTTTCATATTTGTTCATTTTTTTTAATTGTATCCTTTGGTATATATGGTTGTGAATACTTTCTTCCACTATTTGATCTGAGGAAGTGGGTCTGGCCCACGAAAGCTCATCATCTAATAAACCATCTTGTTAGTCTTTAAAGTGCTACATTGTCCTGCATTTTGCTTGTCTTTACCACATACTCAGCTGGTTTTTTACTCTTTGAGATAATCTTGTCTCCTCAACAGGTGGCCTCATCAGGAATGACCTATTTCTATCTCCCTCTCACCTGTGTCCAAATCTAGCATGCTGTCTCTCTATGGAGTCTCCTCCCTTCCTGAGGAGTAGGCCTCTTGATAGTTCTGTTTTTCACTTCTGTGACCATCTCTGTAGGCATTCTTGGGTGTTGTCTGCTGACTGACAAGTGCCCCCTGCCCTTTCAGATCACATATCCCTCTTGTGTAGTCACCTTCTATTAACTAGTTGATCCCAAGTGAGAGAGAGCATCCTATCTTACATTAGGGAGTCTGTTAGGTCATCAAAATTACTTGCAGCAGCCAATGTACATAAGGCAGCAACAGAGGATATCTACCCTTCCACTTCGGGCTGAGTTCTAGGGAAAAAAAAAACCCCTACGTCACTGCACAATTTCATGCCGCTTTCATGAGCAATATTTCTCAAAGGTTCTTAGGACTGCTGTGAGATTTGCAGCAGTGGTGAGCTTGAGAGTGTTTCAGATCTCTCTGCATTGTTCCCTCATGAGGTAAAATAACTATTTTCCTGCTCTTATCATCTTCCTGCATGGACAGGCCTGTGGATAGCTCAAACTCCTCTTTCCACCAGGTCTGGTATTGAGTTAGGTATATGCCTGTAAAATCCAGGGCTCAAGGACACTTCAGACCAATGTCCATGGCTCTCACTGCCAGCTGCAGCACAGCAGCAAACTCACAGCTCTACTGCTTCTCTGTGGTTTGATTAGCAAAGAACAAAGTTGAATGCAGGTTGAGTTGAACATGTAGAACTTTATTAAAACCTGTGGATTGCTCTGCCCATGTGGCTGAGTTGCTCTCAACTCTACTAGTTCTTTGTTTCCTGGGTTGCTCCCTAACAAGAGTCCCTCCAGAGAACATGGTTCCACTGGTCAGTAATGACATTTGATCCCTACCAAGTTTGATAAATGTATTAAGTTTGATTTATTAAGTTTATTAAGTTTGTATTTATTAAGTTTGATAAATGTTAGAATGTGAGAAGTTCTCTGGGATCATTTACGGGATACCTTTTCATACTAATAATGTAGATCATGTAATTACTTTTTTGTTAGTTAAGAGTGGACTCCAAACTTTGTTTCCCCTTTGACAAAACTGGGAATCTCTATGGGCAAGTTTAAGCAACATGAATATTCATATCTTTAATAGCCTTGTCAATCCCTGCAGATACAGTCCATCTTTGCCATGTTCCTTTTGAAGGCAAATTGTGGAAGGCAGATGAATCCAAATAAAAATATAAATTAGAGCTTGATGTTAATTGCTTACAAATTAGAACTTTCTAAAAGTCATCATTTTTATTCTGTCCAGACTGATATACTTAATAATAATCATAGGGCTTTTCTCCAAGGTATGGGAAAGCACACCAGAGGGGCGAGACATGTAAAGCACACTAAATTGCTTCACTCGATCCGTCCTATGTGGACCCTGCTAGCACACTTTACAAGGTACCAACTTAGCATTAATGTAATGGACAATGTCACCATGAAGTACGTTAACATGAACTTTCAGAACATGCCAGTAGTGTCTATATGGAGCAGATAGAGCACAGCAAGCTAGGACTTTTCACAAATCATTCCTATTGCACTCAACCTCTGCAGCATAGAGAAGTCCTAAATTATCTTTTCTATCTGCAAAATGACAATGACATTGACCCCCCCCCCCCCTTTGAAGTACTTTGAGATCTGATGGACATTGCTATTGAATGTGTAGATTTCTTAAAACATAGTTTTTTGACGGGCACTTAAATTCACTTCAGGTTCAAAAATAGCTTTACAAACAAAGGCCCCAAATATTGCAGTTAGATCCATGCAGCTGAACTCTTATTCTCATGTGGAGCTCCAGTGGAGTTCACCTGCAATAGTCCAGTTATGCCTTTGGACCAAAGAGAGTTGCCACAGAAGTCAATCACAAAAAGCTATATTCGAGTGAATAGTTACAGTGATTAGCACCACAATCTAGTTCGCTTCTATCATCCTTAATCCAGTTAACTATAAATAGTAAGGAAGAAAAGAAGAAAAAATGAGGAAAAACACATCAATAAGTAATTTTGTATGGCATCATTTTAAGATGTGGAATTACTCAATGTGTAAAAGACTTGATAACTTTGTCCAAATTCCCAATGAGTTAAAAACAGTGCAGAACTTGGGCCCTCTGTGCAAGAGATGTTCAGATGCAGGGCTTACCAAATTACACAAAGATATTTAAGCCAAGTACTGTATTTGAAAATATTCTGTGCTAACCTCCTGAATGTAGTTCACTGGAAGCACTAGTGTTTTGACAATATTTCTTGATCCAAAACAACATTGAGGACAAAATAATTTGTATTATAATTTTGTTCTTACTTAACATATCCTCTGCTGCCTGAGTCAACATTAAATTTGATAGATAGCCAGCCTTTCAATAAGTGTTATCTGGTCTTATACTTAACTGCAAAACATCTCTCTTTCCTCTTCCTGT